CAGAGCTCATGATAGAATTAGAACACCGCTCCTGAGTCCTGAACCTTGACTGCATCATTGCCATGCGAAGAATGAGAAAAAAACCAAAAATTATAATCATAATAATATAATAAAAATTTATTTACATATAAATTATATATATTATATTTATATAAAATTTTAATAATTTATTTTTTATTTTTAATAATTAAAATTTATTAACTTGTACTTAAACAAATCACTCCCCACCCAATATCCTCATTATAATCTGTTTATATAAAGTTCAATTGGAAACAGACTAGACGACTCAATGGACACAGAAGAAACCATCCCACTTCACTAAGTCCAAAATAAAGTGACACTATCATTTGGTTGATGGATCACATCCCTCTTCACCAAGTCCAGAATAAAGTGACACTATCATTGGTTGATGGATCACATCCCTCTGCTGGCATCATTCTGACAAACTCCTCATAGTTCACTTGGCCATAACCACGGTGGCACCATCATTGGTCGATTGGCTCCAAGCACTTGGATAGCATCATTCTGACAAACTCCTCATAGTTCACGTGGCCATCACCCTTTGTATCCGCTTCTCGTATCATTTCATCCACTTCTTCCTCTGTCAATTTTTCTCTAAGATTTGTCATCACAAGCGGAAGCTGCAAACAAATAAAGAGGAAATCCATGTACCCAAAAAAAAAAAAAAAAAAAAAAGAGGAAATCCAAAAAATAGTCAAACTCGACAGTCATGAGATAGGGATGCCACAGATTAGATTTATAGTTGATTTCCACGATATATCTCCTTTACAACAGAAGGGGTGCTGGCCAAAAGTAAAAACAAAAGGGGTGGTGTAAGGGAAGGAGTGGGACATGTTGATCCAAGAAATACGTTTTCATACCTCTGCAGCAGAAATAAATCCATTCTGATCCTTGTCAAAAACCTTGAAAGCTTATGTCAAATTAATTCTAGAACCACCCATCTCATTCCCAACTGTTGGAGGAACTTGAAACCCAAGAAATACAGAACCAAATTGTAAAATTTCCAAAAATGTTTCATTGCCGATACTATCACAGGCAGCAATAGTCTGCAGAGATGAATGGAAAAAAGAAGAAGATATTCCTTTTGCAGCCACCATGGATTATCAGCAGGTTAAATCACGTTTTTCATGTGCAGACAGAAACCAGTTGAAAAGATTCATGTAAGGGAAATAACAATCAGAAGAGGAAAGATAAAGAACGCAAGAGTTTCAGTGCAATGGCTAGTCGTTACAACCGCGACAGAGTAGTTAAGTTTCTAAACAGAGATGATTAGATGAAACAAGCTAGTTGCTCTAAAATTCCAATGATGTATGGTAGAATAGGAGCTTAATAAGGTGAACAAAACGAGCCTCTCCAAAAGTGAAAACACAATATTTTTATTATGCTTACGTAAAGTACATATAAAGGCAATTTCCTTAGCTGTGATTAAAAGAATCATCAGAAGTAACCATTGAGTCCTGTAGGCTTGAACATACCTTCATTTTACGCGCCATCAAATTTAAGAACTCGGGGAAGTCCATTTTGATCCGCATCAACCTCATTGATCATATATCTTGAAGTTCAGCTTCAGTAGGATTTTGCCCAAGTGATCTCATCTCCCCAACTCTTTGGTGGGGATGCAGCCTACACATACAGAGAAGTTGTGTTAGGGAGTAAACATTAATTATTTTGACAAGCTATAATTTGTAACAGATAACTCTAGAACAAATATACAGTTTGAAACAATGATAGAATACCAGAAACAGGACTGCCGTGTACTTTGGGGAAGGGTAGGGTTTGTGTTTGATAAACCTTCAACAGAAATTTCACAATCATAAACCTCACTTCTAGTGTTGAACTGTGAACCCTTCTTAACCTAACGCCATACATTGACATGTAAATATCATTTTACCCAAATCATGAATATATGAATGGTAAACTCAACTTGAGATAGGTTAGCTATACAGCCTACAATTTTGATGACCAAAAAATTGACATCACAAGAAACTTAAAAACTATCAGCTAACACCATGAACTTCTACCACCTGAACAGTAATTAGCAAGAGGCTACACTAACAACTTTCTGGAAGGCACAAATGCACGAAAACTAGTTTGGGGACACCCTAACTGTAAATACCCCAAAAAAGAAAGAAAAAAAAAAAACTTTATAAAAGGCACAGATGCATGCTAATCAACTAAGCACCTCAACTATGACGGTTGGTTAAATAATCCTTTTCCATCCATCATTGTGAATGAAAGGATCAATACTTGGGCACATTTTTATCATACCTAATTCAAGTACAACATGAATACTTTTAGGCACTTGTAGGCTGTAGCTGTTATTTTTTAAGCAAAATTCAAGAATCACTTGATTTTTGGTGCTTTCCAAAAGTCAGAAACCGCATTATCCTCCTATGTTTAAGTATTACTAGAAATTACTCAAAATTGACCACATTATACTCATCACTGAAAACGGAGATTCACAACCCAAAATTCAAGCAAAAACTAACTAAAACTTATGATAGAAGCAATTCAAGTAAACTCAACAGTAAGAAATCTCCAAAAAAAGAAAAGAAAAAATGAAAGCTCCTTCTTAACTAAATTAAAACATAAAAAAAAAGGGAGAGAAATATTAGAATCGGATCAAAGGAACAGCGAATGAACAAGACTACCTATATTCAAATGCAGACAACGTAGAATAGGACTAAAAAGTAGAATGCAAGTTCTGAAGAAAGAAAAATATGGGCGCATACGGTCACCGTCCTTGTGGAAGAGGCTAGAGACCTCCTTGAACTCGGCGATCTGCTTCTCGGTGAGTTGCTCCGCCATTGTTAACTGAAATTTTTCCTGTAAACTAGTAGTATTGAGGTGTCGTGTTACACGTCTAGCCGTGGACCCACTCTGATTTCTTTATAAGACGGACAAAAGCGGCCCACCTAATATCGGGAAGATCGGGAGATTTATAACTGAAGTTTTTTACCATGGGCACAAGAATGTAATTAATGCATTTATAGGGTTATTAAGTTATATATGAAAAAAGAAACGGATTTTGAGAGTTCCGTGATTCGCTTCGAGTTTGAAAGTAATTAGGTTTATTGCTCCAGATTTTGATTCCTATCAACATTTTAAAAAGAATATTTGGGATAATATTATTGTCATATTTTTAATTATTAATATTATATTTTTTATTTTAATTAATTATTATATTTTTTAATTTATTAAAAAATAAAAAAATATAAAATTTTGAAAAATAGTGTGATGTAAAAATATAATAAATAATTATATTAAAAATATATGATATTAATCATTTAAGGTGTGACAATAACCCTACTCAAATCTCTTTCTATATTTTTTAATTTATTAAAAAATAAAAAAATATAAAATTTTGAAAAATAGTGTGATATAAGAATATAATAAATAATTATATTAAAAATATATGATATTAATCATTTAAGGTGTGACAATAACCCTACTCAAATCTCTTTCTCTAAATTGTACTGTTTAAAAATAAAAGTTATAGATGAAAAAAATAGAATTTGATTTTAATTTTAATTTTAACTATCAATCAATTAAATTAATATATGTGATGTTAATATTAAAATTAATATTAACTATTTAATTTTTTATATAATTTAATGATTAAAAAATATAGTAAATATAATTTTAATATTTACCCTTGAAGCATTAACATTTTAAAAAAATCTTTTATAAATTTAGCTGGACCATATAACTGATAAATTCACACAAAGAGTCTCCCCTTATTTATCACCTTTTATCCCTTTTTAAAGATATTATAAATATACACAAGAATTGTATTCAAATGAAAAAAAAAAAAATTCATGTTCTATAAAATATATTATATATTAAAAATATAATTTACTTTATCAATTTATTAAAATATTTTTAATAAAATAATATAAAAATAATTTTGTAAAAATATTTTAATAAATTTATAAAATAAATTACACTTTTAATGTATAAATCTCTTTGTAAAAAACTTTTTTAAATAAAAAATATAAAAAAATAACAATAATTTTAAAATAGAAAGACTAACAATTTCAACGAACTTCAAAACTTTCATACTTCACTTTAAATTTTGCGAAGTGCTTGTCAAGTGCAATTTTCTTTTTAAATAAAATTTTTTTAAAAAAATGGGAGGGGACAAAAACGAGATCCCCTTCCACCTTACCAATAATAATTTCCCGACCACTTTTATTAGAAAATGTGAAAATAAATAAAAAAAAAAAAAAACGGAGCTGCTCTTCAATAATATAATCCAAAACAAGATAAGAAAATATGCATTTGATCAAGTATATCACAACATGACATTTTTCTGGTTGGATATTACCATCACTAGTTGATATTAATATTCAAAAGAAGGTAGAGGCAAAGATACTGATGATTGTTATTCTGAACAACTCTGCAAGACTTGATTTACAGTTCTTTTTTTTACTTTTTCCTTCTAAAGAGAGTAAAAATATAGATGAATATGAATGAAACTTGCTCTCTCAGCTTTATGCATTAAAAAAAACAAAAACATAAGCGGAAAGCTAAATCAGTTAGTGTCCTCAAAATCACAAAGATGAGTGCTTGTGAATCGGCATCTGGAAAAAGGAGGATGAACTTTTGGAAAAAGGTGGCTCATGGAGCCTGATGTTTGTCCTTCACGGCTAAGGCTGCTGCTCGGTACCATGCAGCTGCAGCCATTGCACCTGGGTCTGGAACGGATGAAAGGTGTTCTGCAGAGACATAGGTTGATCGCCCAGCCTGCATCAGATGTGGTTAGATTTCCCAATTGTGCAAAAGGTAAAGATATTTCATTTGATAAATATGGATGAGAACATGTAGGAAAAGCAACACGACGTTAATATGGCCATACAGCATTTGCACATAATTCACTGCCAGCCAGCAGTGTTACTATGTCAAGTATTTAGATGTCAAGGAAGAAAAAATTGTTGCTGAAGACCTGCGTAATATTCTCTTGAATCCAACCTATCCTGTAGGGGAAAATAGGCAAATTCGCCCCCTCAAAATAATTTTCACCGGTAAATAAACCCCTGATGAAACTTTGGTGGCAAATATGCCCATAAAGTTACAATTAGCAATAAATGTGTCCAAAGTAGATGGAGAAAGTCACATCTCATCTATTATGCACACCTGTCATTTAAAACAACAAAACTTTGGTGGCAAATAAGCCATCAAAGTTGCAATTTGTAGCAAATATGCCCAAGATCAAATGTGCCCAAGGCGAAAATGACTAATGAACATGGCTGGCATGTGGCCCTCTCCGTCCACTTTGGGCACATTTGCTGAAGATTACAGTTTTGGAGGCTTATTCGATACCCAAGTTAGGGGCGTATTCACCAGTGAAAATTATTTTGAAGGGCTGATTTGCCCATTTTTCCCATCCTCTAAACCTCCATTTACTTTCTCCAAATTTCAGTTCACATGCCTTGCCATAGAAGATCCCTTTTTCCGGGCTAGATTTAAACTAGGAACAGCAAAAGAGTTATGAAAATGTCAAAAGAAAAACAAGGTAAAAAGCAACTATTTGGGAATGAGGACACCATTTTATCAGCTTTTTGAAACAGTTCTCAATTTACCAGGTTACAGTTGCGAATAAAAAATTTTGAAAGTCCATCCAAATTAACGTGTCCATCTTGAAAAGAAGCATTGTGACATCACAACATTTTATCAATTTTAAATGCATAACAATGGCGCAAAAAGAGAACAGCCAAATACAAATAGAATTCCAACTGTAGGCAAATGAAAAGATTTGATCCAAAGGTGAGAAGATTACCTGTGCCTGCATGTGTTTAGTTGATTCAGCTCCCTCCAATGCTATTTCTGATGAAAGAACAAATGCAGTTGATGGATCCTCACCAGCACTTATCCTCTGCATGCAACCAGTGCCAAAAAAGGACACAAGGGTAAATCACCAAGTAGAATGTTATTTGAAAGAGATGTGGAAAACCCAAAATCAAACCAAACAATATTTAAAAGCATGAAAAGACAAGCGTAGAGGGGTGGAGGGCATATAAATACCCTGTTGTTTGCCCCAATTTTACTTGGATATTTACTATGTTGTTTGTAACTATACTGTAGTTAAGAAGTAACATTTTCATAAGAACCTGCCACTAAAACTTTTGATTAAAGGCTTAATATGTTAGTTAAACCCATGCTTAAAAGAAAATATGCAATTATTCCAATATTTTTATTTAAGATCTAGTTCAATACAAGTATGCCAATTTCTACGAATCTAAGTTAAATTTAACCAAACTCCAATCCTTTTCAAATTAATTAAGAAAAGGACTAATTCAAATGTATAGGAAGAAAGAACAATGAAACCAAATGTAAACTGATGAGACCAATTTGCCTTCTTTTAAGTTCAGCATGGTGGTTCGGCAATTTCTATGAAGACTCACAATAAAAGGAATAAAGATAAATGATCATTGTTAATAACCTCTGTAAGAACTGCTGATGCAGGAATAAGGGCATCTAATAACGTACGATAACCAGCATTCGCACCGCCATATTTACTGACTGCAGAAATGGCAGCATCAAGTGCTTCAGCCCCTGAAAGCAAGAGATTCATTCAGTCAAACTGTTTCATGACCAAAAATTATCAGATGACGAGCAGTGTCTCACAATGTTTCGCTGTGACACTTGAATCAGAATTTTCTTTCAACTTTGCATATGCTGCCTTACAAAATATGTTGTATCTGTTTCAGAAAATAAAATGTAAAGATTTCATTTCTCTGGTCCTCATATAAGTGTAACCAAGTGCAGAGCAAGAGTTATTGTAAGATACATGATTCCACTTGTCCCTCCCATAACTCTTCCAATTGATGATCCAATTTCGTTCACTGTTTCTGCAGCATCATTCAGAGGATAACTGGGAAAGATGAAGATGATTCCTTATGTAAGGATGGAGAAGAAAATGAAAACATAGTAATGATTATCAATGACATGCAAAAGCATTTTAGTGAGGAATACCAAAGCCTGTAACCAAAATATTTCATAATCCGATAAATTTGAATCATAGGGCAACTATGATCTAAAAGACTGCAGATTGAAATCCAAAAATAGGAATGACAGAACAAACAATAAAGCTTGGAAGCTAACAAGCAAGAATTCTAAATAATAATAATAATAATAATAATAATAAGGCAAAAATTCAAGAAGCCCAAATGCCAGAGCAATAGCTCTTAATTGCCCCAAATTCCAGCTACCTGATGGACTAAGAGTTCTACACACCAGAACACCTCCATCTTCGGAAATATCATATGATTATGGACGCCTACCCTTCCATACATCCCAGCTAACACTCTTCTGGAATTCCTCTTGGAATTGTGATGCCACCAATAATAGCATGGGCACAAATAGTAAATCATGTAAAAAGGTGGTTCAAATACTTATCAGATAATCATCAACATGATTATCCATTTTCCTTTATGGATACAAAAACAATCTCACATTAGAGCATGTCATCAGTATATGCTATCCTACTTTTTCACATAATGACCCGCTAGCAACTAGGAGATTCTCAACCATAAAAAACTAAGAATGGAATCAATATATGTTCTACCATACCACCCACAACAGAGAGACATGCAAGTCTGGCCTGGCCTCTAGGAACAATCACCATGGCAGAAAAATCTTCTTTTAAAATTAATTAATTAAAAATATATACAGAAAATAGGACATACCACTTTTTCATATCATCCAAGATTGCAGTTGCACCTCTATGCATCTGCAAAAGCAAAGAAGCAGGAAATAGCATGTAAGATAGTTATGCACCAAGAAGTAAATAAGAGTAATTATGAGTGAACTAGAGGCAACGACTCACTGTGGATCCACAGTCACCATCACCAACTTTGCCATCCCATTCGTTCAATTTGTCCCTTAGGTCGATAATTGCATTAGCTGCTGCTTCTATAGCCATTTCAAGAATACGGCCTTGCTGATTGAGCTGTTCTGATCGATTCAATGTCTGCTCAAAAGCAAATATGTGCCATCAGCTTTAACTGAGTGATAGAAGAAAATCAGTATCTAGTTGCACCAGCTCCTTTTAATCTATCTCAAGCCACCACAGTCATACTGTAGAACTAACATCATAGGATTCTTCTTTTACATTTTATCATTTATGTGTGCCTAGACAAGCACTCTGGCCAATTTGAGGAGCTTCTTTTACAGGAATATAGAACTGGGAAACAAAGCAGACACAAGAACATAATCGCCTGGACAGTCAAAATTACACCACAAAACTTCCATTTTTTCTGCCACTAAGTGCATCACAGAGTACCCCACAAGTATGGGATTACAAGTGTCTCCAGAGACAGTAACATTATAGGATTGAACATGCAGCTACCCCCATCCACTGATTTTAACTCAAACCCATTAACCAAATTCCATACAAAAGAGATACCAATTTAATGTCATATGTAGTGCCTCTGAATAATAAATTTTCCCAGAGAAAATTTTGGTTATTCATACACATTCCATTTTAGGTAAGGAAAAAATACTCTGAACCCACCTCCTCGCTCTTTGTTGAACGAGACGGTGGCAGTGGGACAGGAATCTTAGCAGGTGGTCGATTACCTGCAATTAAACCATGAAGGTTGAAGCTCAATGAAGAAATAAAAAAGTTCTGTAACTTTAAATAGTTCTACACCATAACTGAAAAGTGAAGCGAATTATTGCAACATGCAAAGGGGCTGTAAGGGTCATAAATAGATAGATGTAAAACGAAAAAAGGAAACAAAAGCAAGAACAATTAATTTATAAAGTATCTTCACATACCGGCAGTACCAACAGGCCAATGTGGAGCCTTAGTTGAAGCATCCAGACGATGCAAAAGAGGTTCATCTGCCTTCATTATGGAGATTGAGAAACCTGAAAAAATTGTCCTGACCAGTGACTACTGAGTATGGCAAGTTGCTAATAAAGTCATACATTTCATCAACATAACAAACCTGCCATGTCAAGAGAGGTCATAAATGATCCTGTATACACTCTTTCAACAGCAAGCCCAAATTCCAGCTGCAATTTAGGGACTGCTTTGCCTGCTGCAATCATCAGTTCCATCGCAGGAGTAGCGCCCAAGCTGCAGTTTTGGATAAAAAACAATAGTAAAACCTTTCTTATAAATCAAGGTTCCTGACTGATGATAATTCCTCTGGCATTTCAGGGTGGGGGAAGGGGGGGAGGCCTAAATAGCAAAAGCAGAGGGTTTTATAAATTTAAGATTACTTGCAATAAAAAAATTTTGACAATCACACGGTAAAAGATTGGTTTAAAGTCAGTGAACAATTGTTTTAGGAGTGGATTCTAGTTAATTGAACAAATTGATCTTCTCAATCACAGTCCCATCGTAAATAGAAGTTATTTACAAAATAAGAAAGAACTTTTTAACAAATAAAAAAAAGTACTTCATTCAGACCATAAAATGAAACTAGGTCACTTTGGATGACAGAGTCAGTTGATACAGCAAAGCTGATAAAGCATCTGAATTTCTGATCCTGATATGTTTGCTAACTGCTAAGTTCAAGTCATATTAACACACCAAAGGAAACCTACTCCTTCAAACCCCATTTTGATCATCCCCTCCCCCACCAAAAAGAACAAAGAAGGGAGCAAGGCTGACCCTCAGAAGGTTAAGAAGGAAAAAAGAAAGATTTCAAGAGCAGAAAGAGGGGAAAAAGAATTAACATATACATACCCATTTATCATGAGCACCACAGCATTACCTCGAGTTATAGGTACATAATTAGTTTCCTGCAAGATATGTTTGAAAACCTATAAAACTGCAGTAGTTGTGACATTAATATTAAAAAAATGAACAATTCCTCTATATGAACAAAGCAAAGATATAAGCAACTGAAAACGCATTTTTTATTAAGTGTGAAGAACAACCAAACTATCTGTTTTGGTGAGAAAGACTAATGAAGCAGAATCGGGTTTTGAAGAAAATTAACATGCAAACATGAGACAAATGATCTAAACACAAGGGGCAAAACCTAGAAAATATTGTCCAAATTTAATGGGCAAGGCATGAAGCAGATTATGTTATGCAGATGCTAATTCTATATCAAAAGGAACAGAATGACCATTTTTGAACTCTCATGATTAAACAATCCAGGCATTATCTAGAAGTAGCATCTGCATGTATCTGCAAGTAAGCACAATGCAGCAATGCATGAGATGTCAAGTATTTAATGCAACTGTTTCCCCAATCAGCAAAAGCAAATATTTCTATTTTACAAACCAAGATGTTAACACTTTGTGTATGAGAAAACTATCTCTGCTTTAAAGCAGAGCCAAAAAAGGTACCAGCTTAAGCCGATAAGAAAAAGAAATGTGAGAGAGAAAAGTTCAAGTTCTTAACCAAAAGGAAGTCGTAGAAAATTCCTAAAAAAAAATTAATAATAACAGCATGGCCAATTACCGTAGCATGTGATACTGATTAGTTAAAAAAGGATTTCGGTCTCTTTTAATAAAGAGTTGACATATCACATATGACACATGTTGCAAAGTTTGAGGTTTGAGAATGTAGAGAGCAGAATTTCCGTTTCATCAAGACTCTCAATACAAAAAATTTAAAAAAGGGCAAATATAAGATTCTGCTACATTAAAGGGGCATACCGATGATAATATTTGATTAAGAACATGAGAAACTACCACATCAACTGGCTGAATGTCCACCACAGCAGCACCAGGTTCCCCATGCTGGTAAGAATAGGTAAAATGATGACATTGCCCATCGAAAAAGAGGGTAAATGTTGATATGCAAATTGAAGAATTCCATAAACAGAGGCAAAAGCAAAAGCATGTTGATGGAAAGTTCCACTAAAAGACAGCCCAATGGAAAATGCAATCAACTCAGTGCTAAGCAATACGATCAACTGAAGACAACTTGAATAGAAATCAATATCAGCTATTTCTGTATGATATTGAAGTACTAGAATAGTAGAATGTTTCTCCAATGAAAGATAACTCACAATTCCAAGGCCAAGTTCCATCTTTCCTGGGCCCAAACGATCAGATGTGACCTGACCAGGCAATGTGCAAACAGATAATGCAACCACCATGGTTCCAACCATCTCAGATGCTCGTGTTGCCTCTGAAGCAACATCAGCAAGAGGAAGACCCACAGCAGCAGCAGCTCCAGCAACCTATAATTCATAAACGAGAAAAGAAACAATTGCGAGAATGAGTGGATAAAATACCAAAACTAAATTGGCTGCAGTTTCTTCAATTAGATTCTTCAAGCCACAACATGCCATGCACTCCAAGTGCAAGCAAATACTTCCAATGGAAATGTTGTTAAAAATGCAGTTTACCTTTTCCCATCATTCAGTTTACCACTCCAAAGCTGAAACTAACTAGCCTTTCAAAATATAAATGCAAAATAATATATTTAATAGCTCCCTACATTACAGATAACCTAACAGTCATAACCCATCACAGCTTAAAGAACAAACAAGCCCCTCCAGTAAACCCATCTTCTCTATAAAATAGAGAGAGAGAGAGAGAGAGAGAGACCTTATGAACAAGAATAGTTCCTGCCAAACCTCTCCGTCCAGCAATGCCCCGAGGTGGAGGCAAAGCACAATCATCTCCAACAATAACAGTCTGCAACAATGATTGAAAAGAATTTATCCAGATTTTTTCTATTTTATTCTCTTGAACTATACTTCTAAACTTCAATTATATCACAAATTACAACTTGTTAAGGAAAAAAAAAAAGGAAGGTTAGAAATTAGAATGAAGACATACTTCTACTTTATAACCTTCAGATTTTGCTTGTTCAGCAGCCAAACCAAAATTCAAACGATCACCAGTGTAATTCTGCACACATGTCAGATAGTAAAACCACAAATCAAGAAACATAACTAATAACTGATCCTAGTTCCAAAGCTAAGCATACTTCTTGAGACATTAAAGAAAAAGGACTTATGCAGAAGGAACAGGATTACCATAAGAAAAAAGACTACTGCCGTGCACCTTCCTGAACAATGACCAGATACACAACCACGCACCAAAAAATGGCAATTTAAAACACAATTCATATATATGCATCTCCCTTAATCATTATGAAATAACAATACCTTCACAATCAGAAGACATCCCATAGGACCAGTTACAGCTCGAATACCCTAAATGAAATATTTTTAGATCAGTCATATAAGAAAACATATTACAGTTACACAAGAAAACGCATTTTTGGAACACAGAAACAGAACAATGATGAAGAATGCATACAGCTAAGATAGAATCAACTGGTGGAGCAGTAAAAACATCTCCACATATGGCAGCTGTCAGCATCCCTTCTCCCACAAATCCAGCGTGTGCAGGTTCGTGCCCACTTCCACCTCCTATATAATCAATTGAACCAAGAAATAAATTTCTACAGGGAACGATTTTCCAATTTTCTTTTTCTTATTTTTCTTTTTAAGTACATACAAATTAAAAGACAGAAAAGAAGGTATAATATCTGTTCACAACTGAAACCTTTCAGCAAAGCATAAGCACAACTGCAGTGAGGAAATTGAAAATTCTATAAAAGAAAATAAAGATGAACAAATAGAAACAAGAAGAAAAACATGCATACTCAAAATTCACAGCCCAATTATGCATACTAACTAATCCACAATGTCTTGGACAAATGAGAACAAGGGCTGAAAGTGGTGAACTTTCTAGCTTTTTTATACCATAGATGAAGGTTACAGTTATATTTTTTATAATAAATAATGGAAATTTTCAGGCATGAGTGATAAAAATATAGAAGTTCACAAACTAACCACCAGCTTCAGGTGCAAGAAATATATTAAAAATCTAATTGTTGTTCAAACACCAAATGGACATGTTCTGTAAGAAATTAAATACAAAAAAGATCAAGTATAATGTTTTGTTCTATTTTAGTTTAGCAATCAAATAGCAGAAATACCCCTTCTGCATCACTTCAAAAAACAGAATTCAAGTTGCACTCCAATATACTTAGGCCTAATCATGGTCAACATCAACAAAAGGTTATCACTGACGGTTGAAATTAAAAGAACTAAAATTTGTGACTGGGTGATACATGTATGTTAACAGCATTAAACACATTAAAAGTCGTGAAAGGGGGACAGAGACACCCAGAAACATATGCAACGTTTTTGCAGTGACCGAACCTGAAATGACTGCAACCTTGTCATATGTTGCACCCGAAACATCAGCGCGTAATACAACCCTCACCTGTATGGCAAGAAGTTATTCTTGCATTAGAATTATGCCCATATATATTCTTAAATAGAGAGATTGAGAACAAACCAATCACCTCAGGGAAACCATCTAAGTACTCAAGACCCGGATAGGTTTCAACAAGACCCTCAATAAGTTCAGTCACCACATCTGCCATCACAATTAAGAAAGAAAACTTCAGGTTTCAGTAGTAGTCTACTAACTCTCCTTATCATGGGAAAGAAACAACGAATAGAAACCATTACCGAACACAAAATTCTCCAACTAAACCCTCACATTATGCTTCAATAATTTCCAAAGTCTAAATCTAAACCCTAACGGAAATTCAAAAGTAGAATAATCAAGGATAAAAATTCCAAAAATAGATCAATGAACGATTTCTTAGAATTCCCCTACTACCAATCCAAAATAGAGAATTCTTCACTGTACTTAATAAGAATTGTGATAATCAACCCAAATAATTTTCATAATAATGATTCAACACTAACTACCTAAAATCCTCTTCCATTAAGTTTGTATGGAAATCAATTGCATACTTATTCAAGTCAAACAAAGGAACAAAAGCATGTGAAAATTTTCTTGCAATTTCTTGGCAACTAAACACTCGGAAAGCACAGTCAAACTAAATTATAGAACAAAAATTAAAGGATAATTGAGGTTGAAAATGAGATTGAGAGAAACGAAGAAGAGAAAAATGCGAACCGTTAGGGTTATTGATGAGTTTCTTCGATTGAAAAGCCATAGTCGGAAACTGGTTTTCAGGTGAATTGCGTACTGAGGGGATTTTGCGTTTGGGGTTTTGGTGGGGACGGACGGAGACAGTCCTCTATTTGTAGAGTTTCACCTGAGGAAGGAACTGTTTGTTGCTTCGCAGGAGGAGACTTTACAATTGATAGTCCAGTCCGGACAAGAAAATATTCACGTACAATTACCACAATGTCCTCCTTTTTTTTTTTTTTTTCCTTTTTCAAACCACAGTGTCCTCATTTTTTTTTCCCAAATGAAACCACAATGTCGTCATCCTTTTTTTTGTTAAATTCCCATTTTGGTCCCTCAACTATTATACAGACCCGTGATTTAGTCCTTCAACTCAAAAAATTTTTGATTTGGTTTCTATTATTTACTATTTTAACCCCAATTTAGTCCCTCCGTTAAAAATCCAATGACATGTCCCATTCATTAACTGGAGCATGATGACGTGTCCAAATAACTTGACACATCAAATGCATACCTAAAAAAAAATAACAACACAACAAAAAAATGATGACATGGAAAAAAAATAATATATCAAAAAATTTAAAAAATTCTTTCTTTTTCTTTTTTCTTCTCTTTCCCTTTCTTTTCCTCTTGTAACTAATGCCTACTGGGTTCCTTCGAACCCAGGGGTCCTGGGTTCCATGCTTGGGTTCCAAGGAACCTAGGGCTTGGGTCTC